GGGTGTATTAAATTCTCTCACTTTTTCAAATGATGTGTCAGTCAGAAGTGACTCTTTCCTGAAGAGAATTAGTGATATGTTTAGGGAGTAGTAGTTTTAAGGGGAGGATTAAGATTGTTTTGAGATTAAATTAATGCTGTAGAGCGAGAGACGCCGGAAAAGCAGCGGCAGATGTTGGGTTGGTGACTTATCTGTCAAGAGTGGTATACTGTGTACGACTGAGCCAGACTCGTTGTTGTATGTGCACGTGAATATTGCCCTCATCTCATCCCATTCTTTTTGTGTCATAAAGGTTGAAGCTGTCAATATGAACAACAACCACTCAGCCTTCCAGAGCCGCACACTAAATGGCCACCCGTACCCACCCAGACAGAGGCCCACGCTGCAGCAAATGCAGGGTGGAGGCAGAGGCGAGTCTTTCCTCTTACATATGCCATGCTGGATTTATTTGTTCCACTCACTCTGTCTGCAATGTCCAAAGCTTTTAACTGTAATGACTAAATGCGCCATTTCCCACAGGAGGTCTGGGAATTCAGAGTAATCTGGAGCTGAAGATGGAGAGCGGGGAGAGAGAAGAGATGATGCACACCGGCCACAGTCACAGCTCTGACAGTCAGAGATCAGATGAGGAAGGCGACCTCAAAACACATGGAGAAAACAGCACGAGTGACAGGTAAACAGCCCCCTAACATGCTTTTGTCAGAGTGGAAAAATCTACAATTCATTCAGCAGACGCTTTTATCCAAAGCATGTGTTTTGTCCATTCAAGGCTACAGTAGATCAAATGTTTGTGGTGGTGTTCATGAAGAAAATGAAAAAAAGGATGAACAATCAGATACATTTTCTGAAGTACACCAGATTTGAAAATAAAAGCCCCTTTGTTCTAAGTCGAGTCTGGGAGCCCTCTCCATTTGGTTTCATCAATTTGAAATACAGTGAGGCCCTCTGCTGTGAAGGGCAGCTGTGTCCAGTGGAGCCTTTTCAGCTCTGCCTCGTATTTCTTCTTCGTGTAGCATTTAGTAGCTGTAATTTAAATGAAGAAAAAAGAGGAGCTGACAGGACACGAGGCACTTTTAAAAGACATCAATGAAACAAGATATATTTTGGCAGGGGATAACAAAAATTAACACATTGGTTGCAGAAAAATAACTGACGACTGGTTGCAGTCCTCAGTAGCCACAAAGACTAAAACATAGGCTTTGTTCTTGCACTGTCTTTGGTTAGCTTATAGGATAGAGGAGAAAAACTTTCTAAGCTCCCAGATGTCAGTGTAATTTTACATCTAGAACATCTCACAGATTAAATAAAGTTTAAGTCTCGCTGTCTGAGGAATCCAAGGTCACTTCAGGACACATCTCGTTTTGACATCAGCTCCGATGCCTGAGTGCATGTCCTCTCCTTTTCATTGAGATCTGGGATAAAGTCGAGGGATATCGATGTTGACATGTGAATGAACCTCCAGTTATTGTTTTTAGACTGAGCTTTTTTTAAGATTTAATGTGAAAGAACCAGTGGTTTGACAAGAAAACAAATCTGCAAGACCATCTTATGTTCATTTTCTGAGAAAGGACCAAAGTGAAGAGCTTGTGGATTCATTATTAATGAACGACACCTGTTCACATGAGCTTATTGTCAATGTAGCCACTGTGTAAGCTCTTTAAACAGCACAAATGAGGGATCAGATAACCAAGGAGACACTCAGTGACCAGCAGAGGGCAGTAAAATCCACATTATCACTCAACACAGTCCTGTTATGTGTGACGAACAGTCGTGCTTAATGAAACGACTTTCTGAATGATAAAACTGTCATTTAAAACAGAGATTAAAAGTGTTTTTCCTTGTTGTTCTTTCAGTATCCATGAGGACGAGGACCTGAGTCCTGAGCAGAAAGCTGAACGTGAGCGTGACAGACGGATGGCCAACAACGCCCGTGAACGCCTGCGTGTGCGGGACATCAACGAGGCGTTTAAGGAGCTGGGTCACATGTGTCAGCTGCACCTGAAGAGCGAGAAGCCACAGACCAAGCTGCTGGTGCTGCACCAGGCCGTGGCCGTGATCCTCAGCCTGGAACAACAAGTCAGAGGTCAGTGAGCGCTGCTTCTGCAGGCCGGGCTGGGGGTCCAAAACTCAGGGGGAGACGTCAAAATGGAGACTCTTTGTCAAGTCAAATCAGTAAAGGAGAGAGGGGAGAGGAGGCTGAAACCAAAACATAAGGGGTGGGAGTGGTGTATTTATGATCCATAAATACTTTCTGTTTTTTGCTTTTATTGTTATTATTATTAAATGGGTATTATTGTATTCTTGTATTTGTGTTGTTTCACAACCATTGGGGCACAGACTCTCCTTTTTCCACTTTTAAAAGATATTGAGCTATTTTGTAATTTATTTGGAGACATGTGTGTCTAATTTGAGCTGTTTACTCTTTGGTGCCAAGCAGATAGAGCACAGCAGGTTTTCAGAGCCTTCTTTTACCCAAAACAGCTGTCTGTTCTAGAAAAACAACTTGAGAAAAGGAATTAAAACACTGAATTGCTAGCTGAACGAAAAAAACATCACTTAAAAGATGCTTGAACGCTCCACAAACATGAAAGGGACTGTAGAGCTGAGTGAAACGCTTTCTTTAGGTCAGATAAATGATATTCTTTGATTCATTATTAACATAAAAACATTGATGGTGGCAACTTTAAAGCGCTACGATCAGAATTTGAATATTCCTGACTGATGCATCCTCTTGTAAATGTATTAAAAAGAAAATGTAGTTGACAGCAGTGTATTTCATTTGTCTTAATGATTGCTATACAGTTCTATTAATAATAACTACGTCACATTGAGTAGCTTAACAAGAAGGAGAATTTGTCTTGTTTACCAGAGCAGGGTAGTACATTTTCCAACACACAGGGGATTGAAATGAACAATTTCAGTGTGCTACCCATTGTTTGTTTCATCCTACAGAGAGGAACCTGAACCCAAAGGCGGCGTGTCTGCGCAGGAGGGAGGAAGAGAAGGCGTCTGCGGTCATTACGGATCCACAGTCCATGCACCTCGCTTTCCACCCCAGTCTGTCAGACCCTGTAAACCCCATGGGCCACCTCTGAGCACGTAGTCATGACTACATCAAATCCAGCATCAAGTATGTAACAACAACTAATATTAATCCATTTTATTCAAACAAGATTGAACTAATTTAAATGCATTAATAATCCACATTTCAAATCTTCAGTTGATATTTCCTCTAACCTCCTTTCTCTTTGTTGTCCAGATGTTGAGTGAAGAGCATCCAGCTGTTTTAGACGTTCAGCGTTTCTTCTGATTTCTGACCAGAGCGGAGAAGTCGAGGTCTATTCGTGATGCAGTTGAACAATCATCTTCTCACTTCCCCAACGGACTTTAACTTGTGCCTAAACTTTACTTGTATAACAGACAAATGCATTGTAAGCTGCAGGTGTTTTTTGTACATATTTTGTATATTTATTGATTATCAGTGTCTTTCAATATATCTGAAAGGATGAAACCCAGTAGTGACAAAATGTCATCTGCAGTTTGAGTTTTTTTTGGCAGAGCCAGATCGGTTTTTGAATGACTTTTACCGTTCATCTCGACTTTTAACAAGTATGCTTGTTGTTTCTCCGAGCCCAGAGCACTGACATTCCCACATTTGTGTTCAGACAAAGGATTTCATTGGTCCCGTGGTTTGTGTGTGTGTGTGTGAGAGTGTTGGAGGAGTTTCACCATTCTGTGAATGAACAGATCTCCGAGAATGTTCTTAAACAAGCAGGCGTCGGCTTTTATTTGTATATTTGTTACAAATCTGTGTTCTAGCGCTGTTAACAAGGTCACACTTCATGGATCGCTGGTGGACAGAGTCTCTTGTCCTCTCAGTGTGATTATTGCTCTTCAAGTGTAGTCGAAGCTCTTTGCATGTTTGAGTTTTCAATAGAACATCAAATGTTTTTACTAAGTTATGTAATTTATCTTTTATACAAATATTGTGTATTTGGTAATGTCTCTATTTACTTTTGTCGCTCTGATTTTACAAATGAAGACCCTCTTTGTGCAGTTTAACTAGACATTAACGCATTTCATGCTCTGAGCAATACAGTGTTACAGAATAATGGATGTCTTGTTTTATTATCACAATACTTAATAACAATCAAAAATACTCCTATCATAACATGTACAGTATGTGTACAGTTTGAAGTAGCCTACAGGCATGTGTCAAAAAATAATAATGTAGCAATAAATGTCATTTTTCAAATAGTTTGAGTCTGTGTCTTCTGTTTTCTGTTTTATTGGAGTGAAGCGTGCATGCATACACTTAAAGTTCTACAGTTTGGCACTGTGTTCGAATAAGTACTCAAAACCTTTACTGCTGTAGAAGTGCAAATCCAACAAATATCCAAATACTGGAGCTTTATTAACATGACTTGTGACTGACACTCTCAACAATACTAAATAATTAAGGTTGCCCTACTTTGGCCTTGAGGTCCTGACCATATCACAACTTGACAGGTTATGGAGACCTTTCTTGCTTGTGTTTCTCCTTGTTTTCTCATTTCTTATCAGCTCCCTAACCATCCATGCTCTAATGAACACATTCCCATTAAAAAAAAAGAGGCTAATAATACATGACTCGTGGTCTATTTACAACAGGGCTTGCATTTAGGAGAAAAAAAGAAAAGAAAACTCAAATGTAGCAGTTATTTTCCATCATGGGCAGAGACTTAACATAAAACACATGCAAACATTCCGTTGTGGCGTCCTCAAATTACAAATATGTCCCACAAACCTATCAGGCTTTATAATCAGAAAATCCCAGTGTGATTTACGATTCTATTCTTCGAACCAGTTTGACTTTCATATTGTGGATATTAAATCATTTTTAAGTGTTAAGGCGTAGGCCTATGTTTTAAACATCGGACACGATGCAGGCAGTGAACGCCTCTCTCAGAGGCCAGTGTGATCATCGTGTCCGGGTGGAGGCAGGACAGTGAGAGCGGACACGGAGGAGGAGGAGGAGGAGGAGGAGGAGGATTCAGTTCAACTCTCCGACTGGACACAGCCGCCGGTAAGTTTCAACTCGGGTCGATATCTTTGCGTTTCCTCTAAACGACAATAAAATTATCGCTTTTGTGAGTTTTTATGTAGCCTGTCGTTGTTTTTAAGTGGAGACTTATTGTATCGTAATTAACTTTAAACTGTTTTCTGCCTCTTTCACTTGATCTGCCAGTGTTAGAGGCTACTACTCCTGTAATGATTGGACGGAGTTTATGTAATAACACGAGTTTATTTCACGTCTTCATTGTGTAGCCTACTTTTCCTGACCGTGAACTATTTGTTTAAAGTCATGTTGTTAAAACAGAGTGAGGTGAAGTGAAGTTCAGTCAAACCGGATAAACGCAGATCCGCTGCAAATAATGCATGCACACACTTGTAGCCTATGGGATTCACATATTAAAGCTGAATTCAACTTCAAAGCACTTATTAAATCAAAATCCTGTTTGCACAATGGCCAATAGCATTGGACCGTAGTTTGACATTTGCCACTCAACTTAACGTACACAGTTATCTCAGTTATCACTGTTGGACTAAAAGTTGTTCCCATATGAGTTATTGATGATAAGTAGGTTGTTTTGTAATGTTTTACTATAATATATATATATAATATAATTTATAGCTATAATCGATTTATGAGATAAACACCATTTGGGTTGTTGGGTTGTATTAAATCCTGCTATTGGTTTTTAATTTCCTTTTTTTGATAATTTTATCCATTCTTTAAAACATCATAGAAAAGCCATTCACTGTCTTTATGATCATTTAACAGTCGATGCTGAAACTTACGTTCTTAAAAACAGTAGCCTAATAAATGAATATGATGGTCATTCTGATTAATTTTGCAACAGGGACAAATAAGTTATCATGCTGGAGGGGGATTTTCCACAACCTGGGATACCAGAGCATAAACGATTAGACTATTTTATCAAGAGAAAGATGATTGCAAAATATTTTCGGTAGCCAAATTAATTAAAAGTAGTTTTTCTATGCAGATGATGTTGTTTTCATCCTCTCAGAAATAGAGATTTCCTTTTTTTCTAAGTTGTGTCATATTAAACTGGGTGTGTTTGGTTCAACACCAAACAAAAAAAAGACTTGTAAAGACACAACTTTGGGTTTTTTACATTTTAGACCAAATGATGGATCTAGAGAAAAGTCTGTGGATTCATCCATTACGACAATTAAAATGCAAGTTATTTCCTCACTTGAAACCTAAATGTTGAAAATGTATTAACTGATCTTTAAACACCAGCATTTTCTTTATAAACCATTAATAGGTTTTATGATAAAGCCTTCATAACAAAAACTAAAATCAGTCTTTATTTTCTATTAATGAGCAGCTTGAGTTTTGTAAAGAACTTGAATGACTACACTCAGGATGGCGCTCTTAAGAGGATACCGTTTTGCCTGCTTCATAACCCCTCTTGTGTTTCAGTCTCACAGTAACACATTTGTTGATAAGCACTTTCCTTGAGTGTCATACCATGAGCTGGATGACGACACCTTGGAAACCTCGGTCGGTTGTAGTCGTCATGCAGTTGTCTCAGCTGTACAATAGTAGACTGTCATGAGCACACAGAGCGAGCTGTTCTCATTGCACTGCATTATCAGGCTATTGTCAGTCTCCATTTATTCGCTCTTTTACTGAGTGCAGCTGTGTTAGGAGTCGCATGGACGTCTATCATTGTGTCCCTGTGTGGCTCCCTTCGCTCCTATGTTGTGTAAACACTCTCCTTGACCGCTCACCTTCCCATGCAGCAAGATCACTTTTCTTCAGTGTTATTTTGTAACACAGGTTTGTTTTTCACCAGTTCATTTGTTTGTCCAAGATGGAGTCTCAGCAACTGAGCAGCTCTCCAGACATCAGGATACAGCGGAGCCAGGACAGCATGTTTGGAGTCAGGGTCCAGGTCCAAGGGATCAAAGGTCAACCCTTTGTGGTTCTGAACAGTTCTGGCCAGGAGATCCACCAGGACATCTCTGTGATCACTCACCAGGCTGGGTATAACCCGGGCATGGTGAGGAGGTCTGTGGACTCTCCATCACATGAGTCACAGCGGACTGCATCCTCCGCTGGGTTTCATTATCAGAACCATCCTGAGATTCTGCGACCTTATGACCCTGAGAGAAATAACCTGAACCTAGTTGTTCCTTCAAAAGGATCAAAAGCTCGACTAGCACAGCCAAACATGGCTCTTCATCAAGAGACAACCCCCTCTACTAAACCCAGGATCCCCCTGCCTGCTGAAGGCCCAGAGGGAGACCAGGGGGAGGTGGTCCAAAATAAAGAGTCTTCCTTAAGTCGACAGCTCCCTGGGAGGTCCCCAAACACAGTGGACACAGACTCCATCTTTTCCGTAGGGAAGCTTATAAGCCAGTTCAACAGCAGCCAGCGGAGAGGAAGAGGAGGCCCGAGGAACAGGTTGGACCCGGAGCAGTGTCGAAGGTCACGCAGCGTGGACAGCAGCAGAACATCTGAATCCTCGTCGTCCTCCTGTTCCTCCAGCAGAGCGTCCTCTCTGAAGGGTATCAGGGGCGAGACTCCAAGTGGGATATATCCTCCGGGGTCGGCCAGAGCTCGGCTCCTCAGCCGGGAAGCCTCTTATGGGAGCAAGAAGGAAGAGAACAGGCCCAGCACCCTTAATAGTGTTCAAAATGGAAAAGAGATGAGCCCTCCACAGGCTGTCAAACATCTTCAGAGAGCAGAGAAACCGTTCATCTCCACATTGTGCAGTGACCAGATGGATGAATCTGATGACAGAGATGCACAGGTAAAGAGATTCGCATCAAGGCACAGTATTTATTTACAAAGGGTGTGTTTATTGCTGTATATTTCCTAACCAGGTGACTCCTGATCTTCTGAAAGGACAGCAAGAACTGTCTGTGGACTCAACTGAAGACACAACGAGGCAAATGCTGTTCACGTACCTTCAGGACGGGTAAGTGCCCCATAAGACTGAGAACTTTGTGAAAGTTGCTTCAAAAGTTTTGGAAAATACGGTTATTTGCTTTCTTGCTGAGGTTTAATAGAATATTGACAACACTTCTGTCGATTCCTAAAATATGAAGGTACAGGCAGTAGCCACTTAGCTTATCTTAGCACAAGGGCAAGTCATGTGTTCTATGACTGCAGCTTTTAAAGTCCCCATTAGTTTAAAAATACATTTTCCCAGTTTTAATTCCTGCATTAAATGTCCATTATCTGCCAAATATATCGCAATAAATAATTTTCTAAGTATATTTACATCAAAATAACAGTATTTTCTCTTCCTTCTAAACATTTCAAATGTCTTATGACTTGTCCTGCACTTAGAGGCGTTTACTAATTTTCCGACCAAGTTAAACACAGTCGATTGAAAAGCATGAAAAAGCTAATCAAATTCATCCCAACGTTATTTTCCGCCTTGTGATAAACCTTATGATTGGTTCAATCCCGTTTCAGTTAGAAACATGTCACGACAGTCGGATACTCTTGAAGTTCCATTTCATTGGGACTTTAAATAAAGAGGCAAGTAGTATTTAAGTATTTTTAACCTGTCTTCAGTTGTTATGCTAAGCTCAAATAAGCTAAGCTAAAAATGATACAAGCTGTAGCTTTGTATGTGATATATGAAAGGATTAGTGGTATCAATCTTCTCATTGAAAACTAAGCAAAACAAGAAGTGATGCCTTTTTCTGAAGATGTCAGATTATTAATCAAAAAAAGCTTGATAAATAAGTTTGCATTCCCACTTTAAAGTAATGTTCAAACTAAAACATTGCTTTGCCATGTTTATTTAGTTTACCCTACAGCCGCCTTTAGGTGATTAGCTTGTGGTTGTGATCATGTAATGTGGTCAGATAACGGGGTGCTGCTCCAGCTGTGTGTGCTCACACTGCAGTCAGGAATGCAGGGCATGTTCTCGTTTCCCCTGATAAAATACTTTCTTCACACGGAAAAGTTTTAAGACCCGTCAGTACTTTGTAAATATATGTGCTTAAGCAGGGCGGTTTTATTCAAGAATCACTGCCAGGCTGTGGCGTGTCAGGTACTGGTGTTTCATTCGCTCCACTGAAACATTCTGCACTGACTTCGTTAGACAACATTTTACTTTATCATTAAACCCTGAGAGAACTTTTGATGGAGGGATTGTAAATCATTTTTCTTGATTCTTAGGACGACTGACGATGACTCCACCACTCAGAAGAAAGTCAACCTGCTGCTTGAAAGAGTCAACAAGATCAAGTGGAAGATGGCTGAAAATTTGGAGGAGCTGGAGGAGAAAGTGTGTGTTGGGGCGAAATTCTTCACCAGTGTTGATCCTTGTTCAGCATGACTGAATGTGTTTGTCCGACCATAACGCTGACACCGTGTTGCTGGACGTCTCCTTTCTCTCACATGTAGGGTTCTGCAGCTAAGGTGAAGCTTTTACAGGACAAACAAGTCACACTGGAGAAAGAAGTGTCTGAGTTAAGGCAAAAACTGGAAACTGAGATTAAGGTTAAGTACTGTTCCATCCTGCTGATTCATTTCTAAAACACTCACTTCCTGTCCCATTGAGTGACGTTCCTGTTTCTGTTTTCTGTTGCGTGGTGCAGAATGAAAAGACTCTTGCCAAAGCTTGTGAAAAGGCCCGGACAGAGAAGAAGAAACTTCAGGAAGAGCTGGCCAGAAGTCAGGAAGAGCTCTGCAATCTCAGGGACAGACTGGCTGGGATCGAGGCGGCACTAGTGTCCACCAAACAAGAGTGAGGACCTGACCTCTACTCTCAGTTTACACAGTCAACAATGATGACTGAACTATGCCATGTCTACATTTTTACATCTTAAAGAGTAGGCTACTTTGAATCGGTCAGTAACCTCAGTTATAGTGAGGCTGATGCTTTCAAGCTTACTGTCTCTAAAACAACTCACTAGCTCACTCCCTAGCTGGACTCTATTTGGGTAAATGTGTAGTGATCTTTTCTTTCTTTTCCCCCTGACCTTCAGTTGAAGACCTGCTAGGTTGTGAAAAATGATTTTCACAGATTAGCAGCAACTTGTTAAAAAAGTTGCAAAATTAAAGTTGTTCTTGTTTTGCTGCAGAGAGATATATGTAGAAGGTCAAGACTCAAATGTTTTGTCTGTGGGGCTCTGTCAATAAGAGGCTGAGCTTGTTTGCTTATATAGCTTAAAAGAAAAAAACAGGAGGAAACAGTTTGCCTATTAGCCGAGCTGTAGCTAGCTCTACTTAGAAATCACACAAATAGGCCAGAAAGGACTCACATACTATTTTCATTGTACTTTATTGTCTGGATAAACAAAATGTGTAAATTATGTAAATTAATAAGCTGTAGAGTTTCTGATAAGTTGAATGTGTTACCTTTGAGCAGGGCTAGCTTTCCCCTTAGTGCTAAGCTAAGCTAACAGCTGCTGGCTGTAGCTTTATATTGTTTTTACTGTTGAAAAATTCCTTAGAACAGAAAATGACAGTTTATTAGATGACGTTCTTTCCCCTTGTATATCAAATGAATCAGTCCAGAGCTTAACAGAATACCTGTGTATACCTGTGGCCTTCGATCAATGCTATGATACACTTCCTTTTACTAAGCTTCTGCTCGTACTCTGAGGTCTGTCAAGTGATCTGTGATGATCCGATGAAGGTCACTTGACCGAAAGAAGAGTCAAATACCATTTGGATTAAGTGTGCACATGCCTTTCTGTTATCTAGTTCTTTCAACCTTTTTAAATGCTTAAAGCAGGGCAAGCAGGCGTCTTCCCTTGACATGAAATATAGAAATCCAATATTTCTGTCTTTTCTGCACATTTTTTTGCATGCTGTCAGGCTGACTCAGATGAAGGCAGAGAGAGAGAGAGCTAAGACGGAGATGAAAGACCTTCAGCAGCAGCTTTCTGAGATGCACGACGAGCTGGACCACGCCAAGAAGGATGAGGTGATATACACGGAAAAAGAAGTCCTTCTGAAGGTAAATGAAACCACATGAGGGAGAAAAGCTTCAAAAAATCAACAACAGCTGGAAAGTCTCCTTCACTGGCCACAAGGTATTGATGTTTTGTTGGATGTGTGTCAGGACATGGCTCTGCTGCGGATGGACTTTCAGGAGATGCTACAGGTGAAGGAGGAGCAGGAGGAGGTGCTGCACCATAAGGAGAGAGAGCTGAATGCCCTGAAGGGGGCGCTGAAAGAGGAGGTGGAAACTCATGATAACTACATGGCCGCTCTGAAGGAGGAATATGAAAACGAGCTTGAAAAGCTGCTCATGGAGTTAGAGCAGGCCAAAGAGGTAACAGAAAAGGCATGTTTACCTTTTGTCTTGAGTATAAAAAGCTGAACCATTTGTTTTTTTAATCCATTTTTAATTATCCCATCCTGACCTCCAGAGCAATGCTCTGCTGGGTCAGAAGAGGGTCGCAGTAGAAGAAGAGAGTGGTGCAGCTAAGGTGCAGCTGAAGGAGCTGAGCCAGGAGAAGGATCAGCTGAGAGGAAAGGTGCAGGAGCAGAACAACAGATGGATCAGCTGAGTCTGGCAATCCAGGAGAGTAAAACCAAAGAGAGACTGCTGGAACAGAGAGCAAAGCAACTGGAGGTGAAAAACACAGACAAAATGTCCATCCAGATGGTTTCATCAACCTTTCTTCTTTGCTGATGTGTGATGGTCTGATATTTTCTATAAATATTCATGTTGTTCCCCAGAGAGAAAAGCAGCAGCTGGAGGAGGCGCTGAGGGATGTAAGGAGGAATGAGGAGGAGATATGTCAGTCCAACCAGTCGCTGCTCTCTCGCTTAGAGGAGGTGCAGGTAAAGGGAGGTTTCTGTTAGCTTTAGAGAAACAGCTGATGCATACTGTGTAGCTTCTTTTTCCTGCATGCAAGCTCCTCTTTCCTTTGATTTGTTTCCTCTCTGTACCGTAAACAGTCAACTCAGACACAAACATGGGACAGTTGTTAAGTGTGCTTTGTCGCTCACCATTACCTCTTTCTTTCTTTTTTTCAGGGTAGGCTAACCAAGCTTAATCATGAGCACAGGGAGCTGAAGGAAAAGCTCAAGGAGGAGAGAAAACAAACAGAGGAGCTGTGGAGGACAAAAACTGAACTGGAGGATGAGAGGAGGATGCATGACAGGACTGTAGAGCAACTGCAGAGGAAGGTGAGAGAATGATCTGGACTAGTCATTCTGAAAAAAAAAATCAGCATTTTTGAGCCAAATGGACAGAAAATCTGTTTATCTTACATGACATAAACGGACTGCGGATACTTCTTGTGCTTGTAAAGTCTTTTAAAAACAGATATGAGATATGTAATGCCATATAGCTTCATACCCACAGAGGGGCACTTTTCTCACTGTCGGGCTCTTTGTTTATCTTCATGTTCAGATGAATAGCATCATGGAGGAGTGTGAGGCGTCCACAGATGTGCTTCAGAACCAGGTGGATGAGGCCAAAGAGAAGAGTCAGAGGGAGTTGGACGAGCTGCGGAGACAGCTGCAGGAAAAGGGAGTAGAGCTGGAGAAATCCCGACAGGCAGCCAAAAAACTGCAGGAAGAGGTGTGGTGCTCAATGTCCCTCTGGTTCATCAGATCAACTGTCTTTTGTTGGCAATAAAAAAAGATGACTACAGTATGAAAATGAAGAGGGGCTCCTTTGTTTTAATATTTTACTTCTAACTAGGTGCTAACGGGATTATGGAGGGTTATTTTTTTTGGATGTGATTTAAACAGAAACATAAAAAGTAGTCAAGGATGTCTCACAGGTTTGAAGAATTCTGTATTTGTTTAACACTGTTTGAATGATTAAACCATTCCATAATAGCAGGAACTGCTGGTCATACTTTATGCATGTTACATCTTATCTGACATGTTTGTGTTGTGCTCTGTTCTGGGTCCAGCTGCTTCCTCTGGAGGAGGATCTGCGGAGGTGTCTCAGGGAGCAGCAGGAGGCCCAGCTCAGGGGCCGGCAGCTGGAGCAGAGGGCGGAGGAGCTGGAGGAGAGGAATGCAGCCACGGTGGGGGAGCGGGAGCGGCAGGTCAAGCTCATGGAGGTGAACTGCAACCTTTAGGAACCATTACAACCAAACGTTATGTTTTTGATTGTGCATCTCATTATATTTATGAGTCTAATATCCCAGCTTTAAATGTAGACTCTCTGACAAACTCTAACAACACAGGATTCTTGAATATCCTTGTATACGTCTCAATAGCAGCTCTGATTGATCTTTGATTTCACTAGCTTCCTTCAGTTTGCAATGCAGATTTTGAGTTTTGGATCAGTGCATGATATCTTACACTGGTGAAAACTTGACATGACAGCCATGAGTCTGATGTTCTTCTCGTAGGGTTTTCACAGTTGAAGCATAAATATATTTTCAAAGTGGATTGTGAGGTTTTAAATGACAACTCCAATTTTCCATGGCCTAAAAGTAATATTGTCGTGCACATGCTACGATTCTAAACGGATGATCTTTCGATCAGAAACAGTCCTCCCTCTTATCAGAGCTCACAGTCAAACACACTTCAGGTTATCACATGTTGTGGAGTGTTTATCTTCTCCTGTGCCTGTATTTGCCCTCGCTTAGTCCTGTGAACTGTAAGGGTGCTGAAAAGAGCCAACAACATCTCACAGCTCAGCACTATTTGTCCTGCTGATGACAAAACATTACACAGTGATAGCAGTGTGCTCAGTGTTGACTCTCTGTATCGACCAAGGAAACTGCTGTTTACTGTAAAAAGTTATCAGACCAGTCTGGGTGTTCTCAGGAGTCCTCTTTCACTTTTTCTTCTGTTTTCAAACACTCACATCCACCAAACAGAGCTTTCAGTCTTAACCCATTGCAGGTTTCCAGGTGTTATCATGATTTGAATGCAGTTTTTTTTCTGATTTTATTACATTTCCATACCATTTTAAGTCTGTTTTCTCATCACGTCATCATTTCTCACGTCCTCTTTTCTGAGAAGCATGACAGTGTGATGTTATAAATTTATCAAATAAATGTTGGTTTGACGCTCTTCTAATGTTTTCCTCCCTCCTCAGAGTCGTATCGGTCAGCTAGAAGAGGATCTTAATGATGAGCGAAGCAGCACCGACCGGCTGATGGAGCGATTAGACAAAACCAAAGAGCAGGCAGGTTCAACCCCTCTCTGTGTTTGCTTTTTGTCTGCACACATAGGTCTTATCCTGTATTTTCTAACATTCACACAGTGACAGAATTATAACCTGTATTAAGTCAGAACCACCCAGCCCTACATCTGTTTTCATTATAAACAGATTTCAGGCCGAGTTCTCAGATTTCCCATTGGACATGAAAAGCTGCTGATTGGTGTTTCCCAGCCAGGCTGAGAAACAAGTTTTGTTTTGGTTTCTCCACTTTAAGCCCTGAAATATGTCTGAACCCCTCTGACTTCATACATGCTTTCTCCATATCTTAGGCCGTCACAGGAGCCTCACATCCTCTGTGTGCCCGTAAAGTAGGCCACCATTCATAGGAGCAAAGCGGTGCAGACTAATTGACACAAAATCCTGTGTTGGTTGCAAAAAAAAAAAAAAAAGCAAACTATTGTGAGCAGCCTTTCACACTCCCTGCACCGGGCCTCTGGATGTTATTAGAGAGAGCCTTTAGATCTGATGTCGCTGCTCAGACCAGACTGCATTTCCTCTCATTTTAGGAGTTAAGCTGAAAACCTTTCATCAAACCTGAACGTCAACAGGCGGTGTTCTTTTTTAATAAGAAACAGCCGTGTTTCCAGTCAATATGAAAGCCAGCACATATGAAGTACAAGCCCATATTTACCTTCAAGGTTGGAAATTGGCAAAAACAAATGAGTTCTTCAGTTCTCACGTGTCTTTGCCCTGTTAGTTTCATAAACAATTACTTTATTCCATGAGTTTGAACAGATTATCAGTCTAAAAAATGGTTTTATGATCTTTTTTTCAACCACAGTAATGTTGTAGTAGTCCTACATAAAGTCGTTTTGATTTTGTTAAGACTTCAAATTAAGGTCACCAGATCTACTATGAATTGGCTCTCATTAGCATGCTTATTGGTAGCATACTAACTGCTGGTTAGTCATAATTAAGTGCTTATTTGTAACTTAATCTACATGACCATATTCTATAGGCCATTGAAGAGTATATCCTTAATATCCTCTTAATGAGCTCATTGATAATAAATTAGGAAGTTGATGATCACGAATTATGATCTTAATATGCATTTCTTAGTATGGCAAGAATCGTTCTTCTCCCTTAATAACTCTCAGTAAGTTTGGTCTGTTCTCATGAAACAAAGCACAACACTTCTTGTCTTAGTAATGTTTGAATAACTCTTAATTAAGTTTGTACCACAGAGTATGTTCCCCACTCTAGAATAGGCAACGAAAATGAGAGCGTAAGTGTGAAACTGGTGGTGAATTGTGAACAAGACCTCACTTTAAAGTTGCCTACTCTTCATATTTAATACATTGAATATAGTGTCATAAATTCTAAATCTGAAATCTGATGACACTCAGTACACTTCCATTTTTCATAGTTTGATCAATTTCTTAAGAGTATGCTCCAGTTAGTTGTGTGCAATATTTAAGTTATGCTGATAGCCCAGTGGTTAGTGAGCGACCCATACACAGGCGTGCATCCCGGGTTCAAATCCGACCTGTGCCTCCTTTCCCGCATGACATTCCCCACTCTCTCTCTCCCTGATTTCAGACTCTATCCACTGTGCCATCTCTAAATAAAAGTCATAAAAAAGCCCATGAATAAACCTTTATATTGAATTTATGAAGTGGTGAAAAATCAAGTATTAGATTTCACATAAGTGTGAAACTACTCGTGCCTTTTACAGGGGGAGAAAAAGAAAACAAAACCTGCTTGAAAAAATATTATTAATTAATTAATTATCTTAATTAATTAATTTTGTTTGAAATGTTGTGGAATAGAAGTGTGGAGTAAGTCAGCTATGTTAAAATAGTTTTAATTTAAAGTATTTGAGGAGATGTACTAAGTTGTTTTTCACCACTGCTGACTTATCAAATCTGTGTTTCCCTCTCCGTTTGTCATGTGCTACAGACGGACCAGATAAGGAACGAGCTGATGCAGGAGAGAGCCATCAGACAGGATCTGGAGTGTGACAAGTTGAGCCTGGAGAGACAGGTATACTCACACCTGAGATGGGTACAGACCCCTGAGACTGGTGCTTACCTCTGGCACTCAGGGACTCCTTAATTATAAAACTGATTGTAGTGCTACACAGTGTCTAAAAACTACATAGTCCCTTTCAATGATTTTTCATGACTATCCTGTGGTATATTTTCTGTTTCAGAATAAAGACCTGAAGGGCCGAGTGACTCATCTGGAGGGATCACAGAGGAACAACCAGGATTCACTCCTCTCCAAACTGAACTGCCGCATCCAGGAACTTGAGGAGCGGTTGCAAGGAGAAGAGAAGTAAGCTGTTTCTACAAAATATTACATTGATAAATATATGCAGAGTTTGTATGTCCCTGTGCAGGATACTCCTCTGTGGATCATGGTTTCATCAGACAGTCTATGGTAGCTTACGAGCAGTGACACCCCCTCGTATCACTTTCCCTGTGGTTGTAAGAGTGAGAGTATCTCTGGCTGAAACACACTGGGTAGGTGTTGAGTTACAGGAAGCTGCAGCTGCGATGTGATCTCTTGCTGCTTTTGCGTCCTCAGACACAACAACAGCCTGCAACAAGCCAACCGAAGACTGGAGCGTAAAGTAAAGGAGATGAAGATGCAGGCGGATGAGGAGCACGTCAACCTGCTGAGCCAGAGAGACCAGGTAGCCACTTCTTAAACTTATTATATAGTAGTTGGGAGCTGCCTAGTTGACTCATGATTAAATGTTTCACTTCTCTGAACTCTGCAGCTGACTCAGAGGCTGAAGACGCAAAGAGGCAGATGGACGAGGCAGAGGGGGAGATCGAGCGTCTGGAACACTCGAAGAAGAAGCTGCAGAGAGAACTGGACGAGCAGATCGAGGCCAATGAGCAGCTTCATGGCCAAATGAGCGCACTGCGGAATGAGATGAGGTGACCACTCACCTTATACCACCAAGTTCCTCGAACTGCATGTGCAGCATCACGTTCAGTCTTGTAAAATTGTATTTTTTTTTGCATTGACAGGCGTAAGAGGAAATCCCCTCCACTCAGTAAGGCTGTGGAGGACAATGTGAAGGACGAGGATGACTATGGATCTGACTCTTAATTCAAACACACTCACTAATAGTCATCCCTGGACTTTGTAATGACATGATGAATCACTGCGAGGACTCCTTCATGTCATAATTCATATAATGTCATTAACAACTCAGGTGTGATCTCATAATGTTGTGAATAGCATGGCAGCTTGCCAAGGCTGACCTCTTGTGGCAATATGTGTAACAGCACTATCTGGCATACTGATGTTTTACAATGCAAAGGCCTAAATGGCTTACTTACCTGTACTTAAAATGTATTTTCTGTTCCTTAAGTTATTTCTCTGAGGGGGGAGTTAATATGATGCAAACTGCAAATCTTAAACCAATGAATAAATACGATTTAAAAGTATTTGAAACATTCATTTATGTTTTTCCATCATGAGAGAACTAAGCTCAGTGTTTCCCTTTGACGACACATAGAAAATCCTCCCTGAAATAATGTTCAATGACGATACATTCACGTCAGATTATGCACTCTAAACTTACTGAGTAGATGCGGATATAAAGGGCAGAGGGATGGTTGTACAAATGGATCGATGGTCTGTGCTGAATGGCTGCAGGCCGAGCAGAGGTGGCGATCTGACACAAGAGCTCTGATCAGTCCAAGAGCTTCACACTGCTGCTGGACGTCTGGTAGTTGTATCAGCAGTTGGCACAGTGACACATGGAAAAAAATCACAAGAGAAGCATGAGGCAACACTGTGCTCTCAAACATGGAATACTTAAGGAATTCCTGGCAGAATTCCTGGGGACGTTTGTTTTGGTTGTAAGTAGAATTTTGTTGTCTTTTGTGAAGTTTTTGCAAGTTTGATATCTTGTTTTATGCTTAATTAAGTTGCTTCTTTGTTATTGTCCAGACATGTTTTTATGATGTATTGGTGAAAAGATTTAAGATGTGCCTGTTTTGAATTTGTTGTCCTTTTTCCTCTCTGTTGGTCAGCTGTTCGGCTGTGGCTCCGTCGCTCAGACCGTCCTCAGTCGAAACACTCTGGGTGAGCCTCTCACCATCCACATCGGCTTCTCTGTGGGACTGATGATGGCGGCCTACGTGGCCGGTGGAGTGTCAGGTGAGTGTTGCAAATGTGGTTGTTGAAACTTCTGCGTCTGATAGTTTATTTCCATCAAGTAAAAACTTCCATATCTCCCATAAGCCACCAGCAGTGTTTGGTGTTTTATTTTGAAATTCATGCAGCACAGTTTGATGAATGAGGTTATTAGATGGTGTTTAGATCAATTTTCTTCTCCACTGGCATCCTACAAAATCAACTTTACAGTTTGTTTTCATAATTAGCTTCGATGCTCTGTTTAATCTACTCTTAAGCTCTTCAGACCCCCAGCATTAAAATAATTCATAGTAATTACAAACAACCAGTGCCTGAACACATAAACATCCTGACACAGCTCGCTTGTATGTGTTATAATGAAATGTTACTCCTAAGGCTTGCAGCTTGTAATAACATAACTTTATGACTTCCCGTCCAGCCATGTGCCACCTCCACAGCTCCAGAGTCAGCAGGAACGTGCCAGCGCTCCGTCCACATCCAATGAGTGTGGACTGGGCATTGATTTGTTAGCACAAGTGCACAGGCTCTCCCGGGTCATCCATAACCCTGGGCGTTAAATGTCCTTCAAATTGAATTGATCACAGGCTGCACTCGTGTGTCTATGACAGTGAACTGACTGAGTCTAAACTACACAGCACATTCTTTCCGTTTTTTCATCAAAATTATTTTTTTTAAAAACCACGGGCAGAGTGTCTAATGTGTTTTTGAATTGAAAACAGGCAGGATGTGAGCACAGCTGGATGAAAAAGAGGAACAGAAAAATGCTCCTTTTGTTTTTCTTTGAATTTCTAATACTTGACCATTATTCTGCCGCTCTTATTGTGAATATACATAACAAAACCCGGCACCGCCCAGGGCGCTGCTCCCCTTCTGCTGCCCCTCGTAAATGTGACACCCTCACTAATGATGGAGAGGGTATCGTGCCAGACACCCCCCCACCCGCTGCATCCCTCCCTCACTCCTCTTGCTTTGTCCTCTCTCCCAGGGGGCCATGTTAACCCTGCTGTGTCTCTGGCCATGGTGATTCTTGGAAAACTGAAGATCTGGAAGTTTCCCTTCTACGTCATAGCTCAATTTCTTGGCGCTTTCGCTGGAGCTGCTGCAGTCTTTGGAATATACTATGGTAAAAAAAACTAAACTAAAAGAAAACACACATGCAGTTTAAGTCGTAAATAAAGAGCCAGCAATCATAGAACTCAGAGCGTAATCTTTGATCTGTCAGAGTATTTCAGTGTCATTTTCTTTCAGATGGAATAGATCCCCTTACACTTTCTGTTTGTCCCCCCTCACAGATGCTTTCATGGACTTCACCAGTGGGATTCTGTCAGTGACAGGTATCAACGCAACAGGTCACATTTTTGCTTCTTACCCAGCGAGGCACCTGTCAGTCCTAGGCGGCTTCATTGATCAGGTGAGCTCTGCTAGACGTGACCCGACCACCCTCCTATTCTATCTATTGTTCACCTTCGCTCCCATTCAGGCTCTAAAGCCTGCAAAGTTTGGCAATTGTAACTAAGGCAGAATTGATTGCCCCCCTTTAGTCTGAGAACACCCCCTCTTTTGCGCTGCTTTGGGTCTAATCACAGATTTCCTGGTATTCTCTGAGGGGTCAAATCTATACCCAACACCACTTTCCGTCTTTTTTAAGTGGGCTAAGTGGTGCAAAAATAACATGTCTACCAGCTTTTAACTGTTGAAAAGGACATGAAGTGAACCACTGAGTAACTCAGATAAGTGTGATTGTTGTTATGTTAAAGTGTCCTTTTGAGTTTCTGCGTAACAATAGTGTTATTCAGTCCTCTGCATTCTTTTTGGAGGAGACATACATTGGGGGTAAACAGCTGTAAGGCGGCGTTAAAGGATAACATTCAGAATGATTATTGTGAAAATGTATGTCTGACTGCTTTTCAGATCATGCGGAAGTAATTATAATAATATAATGATAATAATAAAGTTTGTTTATAAAGCACTTATCAAAACCAACGTCACAAAGTGCTTTACAGAAAAAAGAAAAATCCCAAGAGTTAAATACACAACAATAAAATCCTAATTTAAAAAGCATGACAAATAAAGTATATGTTAAATGTTTAAGAAATGATAATACATTGCAGGTTCATGATTCTGAAAAGCTGGAGAGTATAAAGTGAGTAAACGTGATTGACTCTGCAACACATCAGTTTCATGCTCTGTGTTTGAACTATGTGGAATGGCATCATCAACAGGATGTGAAGTAACAGTTTATGTTCAGCTTCTATTGTTACAAAATGAATGCTCAAAGACACATTTAGGTTGATTTAAAAAAAAAAAAAACAATTTTGCTGCATATAGTCATATTTACATGAATTTAAAGTAAACAAAGCTTGAGCAGGACATGTAGGAAGCTAAACGTTCATACACCATTTCAAGGAGACATGAACAGAGCTTAAATATAAAAAGAAATTAGGGTAAAGATGATCTCTTAAAAATTGGAGAATTACAGCTGTATGTCTGAATGCTTTTTAAATGTCAGCTGCGTTGACGGTGTGCCTCAGCTCTGCAGTTTATCAAACAGGACATTCATCTCCTGCAGGTGGTGGGGACGGGCATGCTGGTCCTGTGTATCCTGGCTATCATCGACGGGGGAAACATTGGAGCTCCTAAAGGTGTGGAGCCGCTGGCCATCGGTCTGATCATCATGGCCATCGGTGTGTCCATGGGGCTGAACTGTGGGTACCCCCTGAACCCGGCCAGAGACCTGGGGCCCCGACTGTTCACGGCGCTGGCAGGATGGGGGATGGAGGTGTTCAGGTAACTGCACAGCACAGAATGTCAGACACTATTTCAAATCAGATCCCCCCCTCCCCCCTCAGCTTGATTCATTAAAAAAAGTCATTAAGACATGATTTTATATGGCTCTCAATTTGTGTAAATAATATGTTAAAAAGTAGCCAACGAGAATATTAACTACAAAGAAACAAAGAAAATAAAAAAGATTTAACAAATATTTTCACAGTAATTTAAAAAACCTTTATTCAATTCCTGTTTGTTCTATCGTTTTTATGTTAGCCTTTTTCTGAAGCAAATGAATGAAGATGTTGTTAGCCCACTGTGGCTTTGATTTGTTTGTTAGTTTTCTAGAGGGAACAACAATAAATGTGATGTTGTTCTCGATATTATTTTGAATAGATTACATTATGTCGTTTGTTATCGTATTGGGTCATGCTTAAATCATTTGACCAGCCCAAAAGGTGTTTACGAGACACAATTATTAAAAAAAAAAAAAAAAAGTCAGAGCCAAAACTTAAACAACACATTATATTAAAGACAGTCACACCTCCGACGTTTTTTCTTCTCACTAGAAGTCCACTACTCATTAGAAATGGGTATTAAACATCCGTTTTCTGTGATCTGTGCATCAAATCATCTCAAGATTTTAAACATGCATTTTATTTGTTAAAGGTTTTCTGCACTCAACGTAATCAGGACAGTAGAAGAAAATATGAGTCATTCTCAATGTCGTCTATCTTACATGAGTCCCATGAACACTTGTCTTTTTTTTTAAACCAGTCAGCTCAAGGGCAAGAAGAAGGATTTCTGTTCTCAACGGTGCAGTTTAAGACCTCTGTGTCCTTCTTAAGTTCACTATAACATAAGGTTCAGTGTATTATTTGTGTTTGGTCTGACTTTATGTGTTTTCTATTAGCGAGTTAACTATTTTTCTGTATATTTTTCATATACTAGAAATGGTGTTAAGGCATTTCAGATATCTGCTTGGTAGTCAAATCTTAATTATATCCCTTTATCAGATTAATGTATAAAGTGAGACCTGAGCTGAGATGGACGGTGTTGTTATATAACATCACATGCAGTGGACAGATGCGATCGATGTTTGTGAATGATCCAGTGATGGCATTAGTGAACTACATGACCTCAGTGACCGCTGCATGTGTCACTGACAGAGATACATTTCCTCTGATGTGTTTTTACACTCAGCACCGGAGAGTACTGGTGGTGGATCCCCGTGGCCGGGCCCATGGTGGGCGGCGTGCTGGCAGCCATCATCTACTACCTGCTCATCGAGCTGCACCACCAGCGCCATGACGAGCCTGAGAAGCCCCATGTGGAGGAGGAGGAAGAGGAGGAGGAAGAGGAAGACGATGATGACAGCAGTCTTAAGGATAAATACGAGATGATCACCATGAGTTAAAAAGACATTAACCTCCAGGACAGTTTTTAAATGTTTGACGGTTAACCAGGTTATTAAAACAATGCACATCTTGCATCTGTACGGACAGTTTTACATGTT